GGTGGGATCTGTGGGCGAGGGGAGCTGCAGCCCGACGGGCGAGGAGGCCCGGAGCAGGTAGGCGTCCCGGGACGCGCGGGGGCCAGGATTTCCCCTGCTGCACCCACACTCAACAAGTTCACCCCGGGTCACGCATATCTCATTTTTTAAAATGACGAGGTTAAGGTTCCTGGTGAGGATGGGATTAAATTGCAGGAGCAGGGGGCGGGGAAGGACGGGGAAGCCTCTCTCTGATCGCGTTTGCTCCTAAAAACCGGAGAGTAGGTGGTTTGAAGGACCGTTCTCATCCGAAAAGGGTGCTGCTTTCCTTCTGAACCCTGGTTTTCCGATTCCTGTTACTGTTTTTGACTCTAGCCAGGGCGCATATTTTGGTAGCAAACGGGACACTGGCTGCCTCCTGCTTTTCGGTGGAAGGGCTGGAAACTTGGTTTCCCTGGAGGACCTCTGCTAAGGCTTCTGCTGGGCACACGGGGCTCAGTTCTTTCGGTGTCGGGGCCTCCCGTTCACGGATGTTTTGGGACAGTGTCGGAAAACAGCCCAGGCTGGAAGGTTCAGGATTTCCCATCAACGCTAAGGCCTTCCTGGGAGCAAACCTCAGGCCCGCCAGTAAAAGCCCTCCTGTTTGGTCACGAACAAAGTTCCCTCTAAGATGTATTGCTCTCCCTAAATCAATATACCATTTCACGCAATTGCAGGAAATTGCCTGCCCATGCAGAACATGCATGAGATACACATTATAAAAAGCCCGCGCTCACGGCAGACCTGGGTCAGCACATAGGTGCCCAGCCTTTCCTGCTTTTGGGGGCCTGTCTGGAGCAGGCTCTGTGCTTTCTTGTATTACTGTGTTTTGAATTCATTTGAGTTAGCAGTAAAAACAGGCAAACAAACTTGCTCAATTTGTTTTGAGTGCTAAATCCCTTCACTTTGAAATCGCTAACAGTGGGCAGATGGGTTCATTTTGTGCAAGGCTTTCGTTAGTTGGCCTCTTCAGCCAGAAGAAAACTGACAGCCACAGGCTAAGCCACTTCCACCCTCTGCCTAACATCCAGGAGAACTAGGACTTTCTCTTTTCTACCGGTGGAAATTTAAAGTGTGTTATTTAAAGGGAGAGAGATTAGGGGGCAATACCCAAGTGCTGTTTTAGGATTTTCTCCTGTCTCTGAGCATTTTTATTTCTGCTTTTTGAAATCTGTCTGAGGCAAGAAAATCAATTTCCCCAAGTCCCACTGCTGAGCTCCAGTCGCCGTCCACCCTATAGTGTCCCCGAGCAGCGCGATGTACGCCCTGCCCCTCAGACACTGGGGGGCCTCCCCACCTCCTGAGTAATGGGCGCAAGCTCCCTCCACGGCTCCTCTGTTTTCTTTTCATTTTACAGAGATTCAGCGAATAGCCTCACTTTCAGCTGTTGCCCTGATTGGGGACTGTCACAAAAAGTGGGCAGAGTGCAAAAACCACGGGCATGGAGACTCAGCGTGGCAGAGACCCAGGGAAGGCGCCTGGCTGCGTTTGCAGAGGCGCCCTTTGCAGCCTTCAGCGGTTTGGAGCAGGCCGGG